ATTTCTTTTGACGGTAATCCCTAGCTTTCGGCAATGCGCTATGGACCATTCATCAGGAGCTGGAAGCACAATTATAATGCTAGCAACCAACATGGGAAAGATTTAAATTGTCAAACACGTTACTCGTCGTTGAGGTTGCAGCCAAATTGTGTTTCAAAACGAACGGGGAGATGAGAGCATTTTGGTAATTAGGATGAGGTTTTACCGAGCGTCCCTCGTATATATTGTGCGCAAATTTGGCAATTATGTTTACAGTTCCACATTCCGTCGCGACAATTACATGTCATCTGTCGACGCATCATCTTTCCGTTCCGTCCATCTTATCCACGTGAAGAGGATGTAGAAGGTTAGAAACGACGTTCCCGGTGTTGTCCACAAAATTGCTTCTCGTTATAAAAAAAGAAATTAGTATGTTTCAGGTGTATTGATTTGGAGTGTTAACACCTAATGATGGTATCAGTCGTTATCAAGAAGTCCAATGTGTCCGTCCGATTGGTTTTATAATTGTAATAAGTGCTCTCATCCCCGCGCTCGTTTTGAAACACCATTTGGCTGCAACCTCAACGACGAGTAAGTTGTTTGACAATTTAAATCTTTCCCGTATTGGTTGCTAGCATTATAATTGTGTTTCCAGCTCCTGATGAAAGCTCCATAGAGAATTGCCGAAAGCTAGAGATTACCGTTAAAAAAGTTAACTAAAGCCTAAAGAGTTTGCCAATTTCCCAATTAACAATTAATTGTATATATATATATATAGGAAGTGGAGGTTCTGTTGGTGTAGAATTTGTAGTGTTTCAAAATATCCTAGTTTGTTTAAAGTACTGTCGAATTCATATGTAAATGTGTGGAATGCGGGTTAGTCCAATATTGTCTTATTATTAGAAATAAAAGTACAATTTTTGTACACATGATGAACGACCTTATTCAGTTTCAGGTATCCCTCTGCCTGAATTTAAAACAAGGAATTGCTCGTAGTGAATGGTGACATATTGTAACCTGTTTCTGGACAAATAGACAGATAGTTGGTAAAACTTTATCACATATAATATATAATAATGGCTATCCGAAGTATCTGGTTAACAGAATCCTGTTCAGCTCTCCTCCTGGCATTTTGCCAATTGCAAGTAACAAAATGGACAATGACAACACTTTCCTGTCCAACCCGACGCCCTTTAATTCTTAAACTAATGAGAATGACAACACTACGCGTCATGCTTCTAATGCCAGAGTTAATTACCTTGTCTTGCCATACATCAAAGAACTAATTCCCAAATTGATCTGGCTGTATAATTCCTTAAATTGTCGTTTTGCTTGTAAATCAGTTCTCACAGTCAACAGTGTGTTTTCCAAAATGAAAGATAGGCTTCATCTGCTTGATTCAATCAACACTGTCTATCGGATTAATTGTAACAACTGTAATTCAATTTACATAGGCCAAAAATCGAGATCACTGAAAGGCAGGATAACCTCACACAAAAGTGACGCCAGATGTTAAGCAGCTCATTGTCATTTATTCTTACTTGTTGAATTGTGAAAAGTTAGAACGAGTTTCCAGTTGATCTAACATCCTCCCAAAATTAAAACATAATTCCAATTATTTATCCTTTTAATTGAAACAATGTCTCACGACAATAATAAATATGTATTAATATATCTTCATACAACCCATCTTTTCAAGCGTGTAAAATTTAATCGAGCAATTTTGGGAAATATGATGAGTTTTTTCCGAGTGTCCCTCGTACACCGTATAATTTGGCAATGATTTTTACATGCCCACATTTCTTCGCGACAGTCACCTGTCATCTGTTGATGCATCACTCTTACGGTTTACCTCATTTTCTCCACGTGAAACAGATTTAGGAGGTTAGAAGGGACACGTTTTTTTTCCCAAAAATTGCAGTTCGATAATTTTTAATGTGTTCGGGTGTATTGATATATAGTTTTAACTGCTAACTATGGTTTTTCGTCGTTATCAAAAAACTAATTGTGTCCGTCCTTTTGGTTGTATAATTACAACAAGTGCTCTCATCCACGTTTTTGTTTGAAACACTATTTGGCTGCAACCTCAGATACGAGTAAGTTGTCTGAAAATTCAAATCGTTTCCGTATTGGTTGCTAGCTTCATATTTGTGCTTCAGCTCCTGATGATGGTTCCATAGAGGACCGAAAGCTCGAGATTACCGTTGAAAGAGTTTACTAAAGCCTAAAATTTTGCCAATTTCCCAATTAACAATTAATTGTATTCCTTGCCCAACTGGTCGTTGGCAATGGCAACGACTACTGTTCGTATATATACCTTTATACAGGGTGTTCCATAATTATTGCGACAAAATGATAGGGGTTGTAGAGGGCATAAGAATAAGCAATTTTGCCTTATAAACCCCTGTTCGTAAATATGCCGTTTGAGCACTACCGCTAATTTTACCTTAAGAGCTCATAGGAGAAACAAAACATTCACCAGCTGCAAAATGTTCATCTAGCACATTTCATGGTCTCGCCGGTTTGTAAAAAAAAGCCTGCTGTATTTACATTTTTGTTATCGTAAATTCTCCACACCGATTCATTTAATTTATCTGAGTGGTGCGTCAAACTAGATAGTAAATAACAGTACCTTGTGTTAAAAATGCAGCGTTATTCATATGCGGAACTTGCGGATATGTATTTAATTTACGGAGAAGCTGGTGGTAACGGAAGACGAGCCTCGCGAATCTACGCCCAACGGTTTCCAGAACGTCCTCATCCGCAACACGCCATTTTTGCAAGGATTCACGGACGTCTTCGTGTCACTGTCAGCATCAGACACCTCGCGGGAGCAGTGCGGCCCTTCACGAGGTGCACAGTAGAATTTGAGGAAGCGATTCTGCATCATGTAGAGGCCAATCCGCGTACAAGCGTGCGTGCTATTGCACATGACATGGGAGCGTCTCAAACTACTATTTGGCGGGTTCTCCATGACCAGCAACTACACCCATACCACCTTTTAAAAGTCCAAGCCATGGGTCCATAAGACTATCTGCCGCGTCCACGTTTTTGTCCTTGGTGGCTGCAGCAGAAGTTGAGGCGACCAAACTTTGGTCGCTACGTTTTGTTCACTGACGAGTCCTGTTTTACAAAGGACGGTTATTTTAATAGCCGTAACAGTCACATTTGGGATGAAGAAAACCCTCATGCCATAGCCATCCATAGAGACCAACATCAGTTTTCAATTAACATCTGGTGCGGCATTGTGGACGAGCATATCATCGGGCCATATTTGCTTCCATCACGTTTGGATGGGCATGCTTGTGGTCGATTCTTACAGCATGTGCTACTGGAACTATTAGAAAATGTGCCACTGAACATAAGAGCCAACATGTGGTTTCAACACGATGGCGCTCCAGCCCACTTTTCTTTACAAGTGCGGCAGTATTTGGACGACAAATTTCCAAATAGGTGGATAGGCCGAGGTGGCCCTGTGCCTTGGCCTGCGCGGTCACCTGACCTGACCCCACTGGATTATTTTCTCTGGGGCCATCTGAAAGCTTTAGTGTACGAAACTCCTGTTCCCAACCAACAAGGGAAGAGTGATGGCCGCGTCCGCACATGTTCAGGACATATCGGGGGTATGCCACAGAGTTCGCCGATCATTGAACAATCGTGCACAGCTGTGTATTGAGCAAGGTGGAGGATACTTTGAGCAATTACTGTAGGTAAGCTGCTCTTTTTTTTTGCTGCAGCCCAAACGGCATATTTCCGAACAGGGGTTTATAAGGCAAAATTGTTCATTGTGATGCCCTCTACAACCCCTATCATTTTGTCGCAATAATTATGGAACACCCTGTATAATCAGCTTACAGTCAATAACATAAAAATATCGAATTTTCTTAGGGTTATACATCTCGGATGTTTTTATTTTGATTTAAAACTCCAAATAGTTCTCCAAATTTTTTGACATCTAAAATTTGTCAGAGCACAGTTATAATATAGATACATCATTCAGTAAAATGCAATTTGTTTTTTTTTTTTGTTCCAAATATTATCCAAATATCATTTTAAGTAAATAAAATAATTCATTGAAACTTGGCAAACAGTTTTACCTAAATTGAGTTAACAAATTTAATAAACATGATTTAATTCTTTTACTTGGGGCAGGTAAATTTATTTTAATTGTCCGTTAATTTCAAATAAATTGTTGTAATCAAACTAAGTAAACGGTTTAATGAATTTGATTAAACGATTGCGTCTTGGTTTGTTTGAACTAGTTTCATAGATTCAAGTAAACTGTTTTAAAAATCGAAGTTGAGTTGAAATAATTAAAGTTTTTAGCTGTCACATAGTTAGTAAAATTTTATAATTAGCCTAATTAAGGATTTAGTTTGTTTGATTAAATTTTTTCCTGAGTGTGGTAACATGGTTTTTCGAGATCCTAAGTCTGGGGTTAGTCGGTCTCTATAAGCGCATTTGAAGGTCATATCAAGAACATTTCCAAAATAAGCCGAACAGTTGATCTCAACTGCATGTCATTCTGGTTTTTCTTTCTACTAACCCTGAATCAGAGGGCATTCGAAGGTAAATTTAAGGTTGCTTCAAGGACAAACCTAAAATAAGTCTAGCATTCTAGTCCAGATGCATGACATAGAGCTTCTCATGGTCAAAGAAACGGATATTTTTTAAATTCTCCAAATTCTGAAAGCCATTGTCAAATGCGTTTGTTAAGTCCTCCCTTAAACGCTCCTCAAGGAGGCGTTATTGCTTGTTTAAAATCCAGGAAGATAAGATTCCTCAAGCAACATTCAATCCTGGAACGTCTATAAAAGCGACCCTTATGCAGTACCTTGGTTTTTGCCTGCGCGGCTGCTTCGCTATCCGGGATTCAAATTAATCGCTACGCTATCTGCTGGCCATTAGAGTTTTTTGTACATTAATTAGCCATTGTTCAATTTGTTTACATCCAAATTTTCACTGAATCGCGGCAAGTTACGATATTCTACGTCGAAATTAACAGTTTTTATTTTAAATTTGTATTTTAAATCTTATTGTTGACTACAGAAGGTCACAACCTTGTCCTCGAATCATTACTATTGTTTGTGTTCCGCAATGGAATTCTTGGGCGAAAAAGGATGCTGAAAAGTAATTAAGCTTTCATCAATTTCCCCCAGAGAAGGAGCAAAAACTTTATTTTGAAACCGTAATGATAAGATATGGTTGAAAGAAGGAAAGAGTGGGCTTTAAAACCTCGAATTGGAAAGACAGTTGCAGATTATTTTAACAAAGGTAAGTCATCAATGTTTATTAGTTCATAGTCATATATTAAGGTTTTCTTTTACAGTTTATTGGTGTAATGAATGTTTTGAATACAAATCAGCTGTTCCTTCTCAGAATCTGCCAACATCAGTGCACTCTGAGAAGCTGTTGAACCAACCTTCTTGATCAGAGAGATATAAAAAGAGGAAACCGAAAGATCCTAAGAAGGCCCATGTGAGTTGATTAAAGAGTTGGAGTACTTTGAGGAGGGAATTGAAACTGCTGAAAGTTTACTATTATTATTTAACCTAGGCCAAGGCATAAGTGAAAGTGGAATTGATCCTGTTCTTCAAAATAAGCAACTTTCAGTTCGTGATTCTGAAGTTCAGGTTAACCCTGACAAAAAATCAAGTCTGAGTGACCTGTGAACGACAGACAGTGCTTTAAGAAGTTTCACAGGAATCAACAATTTTTAAATATTTGAATGAATAGTAGCAAAGGTGGAAGAATTCCTTCAGGATGTAGTGCGCGAGTGATCTTCGTAGCCTTAATAATGTCTGGACTGACCGTAGCCTTAAGGCCGATGAAAGTGGTTCACCTTGAACCGAAAGTGACGCGGCAGTCGACCGCCAACCGTCGAATGTATCACATCTGTTTGAGTTTGATCTGTTAGATTATTTTTGTTTGTAAAGTTTGAGTAAAGTGAGTCCTTGAAACCGTGTGTTACTACTGCCCACTTCCCACGTATATTGGAGTCCTGCACTTCATTTTGGCGCACAACGTGAGGGTTGTAGTGTTTTGGGGAATTCGCCAGTGAAGGATAAATCATTTTGAGTTTTGCAAAGCGTGGTCGGCCATTGAGAACGAAATCGAAAGTGTCTGATCGCTGCTGCCATCTGACGACTAGGAAAAGCAGTGGAAAACAAATGGCCGATGTTTGATCAGCTGATGTATGACAGCCGCTTTGAACTAAACAAACAAGTTGTTTTGGACATAGGAGTTTTGAAATAAGCGGAGAGTTGGGCACTGTTAGCAGAGAGATCCAGGTGCTTAGGAGGTGAGCTGGAAGTTTGGGAGAAGCAGAGTTGGAGCGGAAAGAAGAAGAAAAAGTTATGGTCCAGGTATCATAGAGAAAAAAAAAAAACTATAGTGCAAGGTACTGTATTTTATTTGTGTATTGGGTAGAGTTAGGTATTTAGATTGAAATCGCTTTTCAAATGAATGATAAAATGGCACCGAAGAAACCAAAAGCCAATGTAAATGAGGAGAACAGTTTGTTAGGTAGTTTGGATGAAAGTGAGTCACCACAGTGTAGTGAGTTAAAAAATATGGTGAATAACTTAGCAGATGATTTCAAAAGGTTACAGACGTCTTTATCTGGGGGTAGTAGGCAATATGTTGGTCTGTGGAGGGACCTGGGGGGTCACACTTTGACATTTGTGCCTAATGGACCAGTGCATCCAATGAACTTTTTAAGAAAAATTATGCATATCTTGGATGAGGCTGGGGTGCCTGAAACCGCAAGGTTAAAACTAGTAACAGGGTGTTTGAGGGGCTCGGCTGCTGAGTGGGCGGAAATCAAGGAGGATTCTTTTGACTCATTTCAGAGTTTCATTGATGCTTTCATGGATAGGTACTGGGGGGTTAAAGAACAACGTGCATTGTACTATGAAATAAAGTATGGTAAATTTCGATCAGGTAGCAGGGCAGATTATGTTCTCCGGATGGCAAAACTAGCCAGTTTTTTGACAGACAAAATTTCTGAGAGTGAGTTAGTGAGGTTTTTGTCACAGCATTTTACACAAGAGCCAGAGATTCATAGGGCAGTTTTAATTCAAAATATGAAAACCATAGAGGAACTTGAAGGATTTCTAAGAAATTTAGATGAGGTTGATGCTACTAGTCGTGATAGAAGAAATGAAGGGAGAGGGGGGTACAATCCACCAAATCATAATGGTAATCGAAATTTTAGGCAAGATGCTCAGGGAGAAAATAACAGAAATGATCAGGATAGGGCTATCAGATTTATAGATGTGGGAGAGGATTTATTGAGTGAAATTGAGGATGGTGGAGATGGTGATGAAGGACACCAGATGATTTCCTCAACTGTGAAAGGTAATGTTTATGGTGAAGAAGTAAACATATTACTAGACTCAGGTAGTCAATGTTGTGCGATATCTGATGAATTTTACAAGAAAATAAATTCTGATGAAAATGGTATATTGGTATTGCCGGTGGTAAATTTCTCAGTTACGGGGGCAGTCGGTAAAAAGCAACAGCGAATTAAGCAACAGGTTTTAGTGAAAATCGAAATTGGGGGGTGTGTGTTTGAAATCCCTTGCATAGTGGTGCCACATTTGAACCGTTCGGTTATTTTAGGAAGCGATTGGTTTTTAAAGGAACATGTCAAACTTGATTATGATGATTTAGTTTTAGCTGTTGATGAAAAAAGTTTAAAGGTGAGAATTCAGTTGGAAAGAAGGGATGAGGCTCAGTTATCGATTAATTTTCTACAAGAAGGACAAATGAAGGATAGGAATAGACATCGTTATACAGATTTCGAGATAAAAGAAGTGGTTACTAAGGCGGAATCGTTTGATGAAAGGGAAAAACCGGGACAGTTGCTCACGGTGGATTTAATGGGTCCTCTGCCACCGTCGCGAGGGGGCGCTACACAGCTATTTGTGGTGGTAGATAATTTTACCAAGTTTACGAAATTTTATGCTCTTCGTAGAGCTACGGCGCGAAGTATTGTTAACAAGCTGGAGCGATATTTTTCTGAGATCCTAACTCCAGAAGCGGTGTAATCAGACAATGGAACTCAATTCCATTCAGCGGTCTACAGGGTTATCCAAATTAAGTGTCCACCATTGGTAACTTTGTTATTAGTAAAAATACAAAGTTGTTTAAATTAGCAAACTAGTAGCATTTTTAACGCTGGTAAAAATGAGAAATAAAAAAAAACAATTGAGAGTCGTTATTTTGATTTTTTTCAGTAAAATAACATTTTTTTAAATGGAAACCCCTGTATATTATATTGTTTTCTGTTAAAGCATCAAATTTTAAACAAAAAAGTTCATAATGACTTTTCCGCTAAAGTCAAAAATAAAGTCAAAATAACGATAAATATTTTTAATTATTTGCAGTATTATAATATTAAGACGGCTATGAAAACAACATGGCGTTCGCGATTTGACAGCATTATGATAAGCGACAAATTGTTAAACTGGACATACTCGCAACTAGAAGGCTTTGGAAAACAATGATAAAATCAAATAATGTCAAACATTAGTGTAAATACTTGTTTATAAGCTTTATTGTGTCATTAATTTAAAGAAAAATGTTCTCCCATGAAGAAAAGTGTGATATGTTAGAATGCTATTTAGTGTGCAGAAAATCCTCCTTGAGAGCAAGAGAATACTACAGTGAATTATATCCCGCTCGCATTCAACCGTATGAACGATATTTTCTGAGACTTTATCGAAAATTTAGGGGCAACGAAAATGTTTTTGCTAAAACAAGGGCAAAAAAAGAATTCATAATAAGCGAGGCCACGGAAATTGCAGTTACTGGATATTTTGAAGCTTATCGTGAGAATTCAATAGCAGATATTCTCAAGGACTCTAATTTCAGTTATGGTACTGTTCAAAGGATTTTAAAAAAATACAAATTTATTCCGTATAAGTACCGACCAAACGCTTATGGCAGGGGATCCAGAGAGAAGACTTGTTTTTTGCCATTGGTATCTTAGCTTCTGTCGCCAAAATGTAAATAACTTTCGTTACCTTTTATGGACAGATGAATCAAATTTTTCAAATTCTGGAATGTTTAATAGAAAAAACCACCATTATTGGTCAAGAGAAAATCTTTTGTTAGTACATCCAAGAGGCCCACAAGTCCGTTTCAGTTTCAACGTTTGGTGCGGTATAATTGGTTCAAAAATTGTTGGCCCGTTCTTTTATGAGGGAACCCTAACTGGTGAAAGATATGTGGAATTTATGTCAGAAATTCTGACTAATTTCTTAGACGAATTGGATCTTATAAGTAGACATCATCTGCATTTTCAGCAAGATGGCGCACCTGCCCACAACTCCAGAGGTACTTATCATTTTCTAAGTACTACTTTTAATGATCAGTGGATAGGAACAAATGGCCCAATACAGTGGCCTCCCAGATCACCAGATCTAAACCCACTTGATTACTTCTTGTGGGGTTACTTAAAGAACCAAATTTACAAGCGAAGGTACGATAACCTTGACGCGTTAAAGACTGCAGTTAGGGAAAAGATAACCCAGATAGATGGTAGGACCATACTTAAGACAGTTCGAGCAGTTGAAAAACGTGCCCAAAAATGTATTGAAGAACAAGGTGGTGTTTTCGAGCATCTTCTTTAAAAAAAATTGTTATTGTATTTTGTAAGATTATAAGTTGATGTTGAAAATAAAGTTTGTCGATACAATTTAATTGTTTCAGATTGGAGGCCATAACTTCAACAATTTGTAACCTAGGAGAAAAGTTATTGTAAGCTTTTTTGTTTAAAATTTGATGCTTTAACAGAAAAAAATATAATATACAGGGGTTTCCATTTAAAAAAATGTTATTTCACTGAAAAAAATCAAAATAACGACTCTCAATAGTTTTTTTTATTTCTCATTTTTACCAGCGTTAAAAATGCTACTAGTTTGCTAATTCAAACAACTTTGTATTTTCACTAATAACAAAGTTACTAATGGTGGACACTTAATTTGGATAACCCTGTATATAAAATGTTTGGCGGAAAAGGGTGTAAAATCCATTTACACCTCCGTTTATTTCCCATCGGGTAATCCCACAGAGCGCATGAATAGAGAGATTGGCCGTCTGCTTAGGTGTTTCTGTTCTACCAAACATACCAAATGGGCTTGTGTTCTACCACGTATTGAACACTGCCTAAATAATATTGTCCACGAAAGTACCGGACAAGTTCCTGCGATGTTGATGTTTGGAAAATCAGAGCCTAATGATATTTTTAAACTGATTGCTTATCCTCCTGGTAATCCCCCCACTCCGGATTGGACCTCATCACTCCAATTAGCTTCCAACAATTTACGGTCCAAGGCTAGAAAACGCAAAGAGATGTTTGAAAACAAGAATAAAGCTATCACTTTTACTGTCGGGGATTCCGTTTTAGTGAAGACTCACCCAATTTCCTCCGCTGCCAATGCGGAAATCCGAAAGTTATTTGTGAGGTTTGATGGGCCATATGTGGTGTCGCGCATAGTTGGACCCAATTCTTATATGTTAAAGAATATAGAAGGTGTCAATGTAGGCCCTCAGAACATTAGAAACTTAAAATTGTATAAGCGCTGCTCTACCCCTGACCAATTGTAAATTAGGTTTAGTTTAATTAGGTTAGTGTTTGGTATTATATCTTCTGGAATGTAATCCCTCAGATATAATAGGGGGGTGATGTAGTGCGCGAGTGATCTTCGTAGCCTTAATAATGTCTGGACTGAACGTAGCCTTAAGGCCGATGAAAGTGGTTCACCTTGAACCGAAAGTGACGCGGCAGTCGACCGCCAACCGTCGAATGTATCACATCTGTTTGAGTTTGATCTGTTAGATTATTTTTGTTTGTAAAGTTTGAGTAAAGTGAGTCCCCGAAACCGTGTGTTACTACTGCCCACTTCCCACGTATATTGGAGTCCTGCACTACAAGGATATAAGATCTCATAGGCTTAGCATACGTGAAAGATTACTTCTCACAGTGAGAAAGTTAAAACCAGATCTCACTTTAAGTGTGCTATTCAATATTTCTTTTCGTTTTGTACAGACATAGATATCCAAAAACCAAGTTGTCTGTTTTGCCCCATTAAGTCTTACTCTCAGTATAAAAAACATACTACAGCTAAGTGCATGACTGGTTTGATTACCTTTGTGGATAAAGCTTACGGTAGCCGTGCATCTGACAAAACTAATGATTTTTGGGGAAAGTAATCTTATCGATAAGTTATTTCACAATCGGATGCCATTATGGTGGACAAAGGGTTTCTTATTGATGATATTTGTGCTGTACATAAAATTATGTTAATTAGGCCACCATTTTTAAAAAATAAGGAGCAACTTTCAGCCCAAGAGGCTCGTCTCAATCAAGAAATTGTTTCAGCGCGTGTCGATATTGAAAGATCAAAGCAAAGATTGAAGATTTTTAGAATTATACGTGGAAAACGGCGATGGTCATTTGTTCCCAAAATTGAAGAAATTTTTGCTGTAAATTGTGGCATTACCAATCCTTCGGCACCTATTATTTCAGATAAAAAATTCTAAAAACCGCTTTAGTTGTAGAAAACAATTCTATTAATTAAAGTCAAACCAAGTTTGTTTTGCAAATAATTATGTATCTTGCTCAATATCTAAGTACAGCCAGTAAGGCCTATAAATGTTTTCACTACTAAGTACTTTATTTTAATCAGCATACCAAAGGTAGAAGACACACTATTTTATTTTTCTTGAATTTATCAATGAATATGACTATGAAATATTTAACTTTATGTATTTTCATCATTACAAAGCTTATGGCTTCATTTCCTCATCACACTTTCTTGTCTTATTAAATAGATTCTTATAAAATACCTAGCATTGAATTTTGAACAGCAAAATAAAGAGCAAGCTCAATATTTTCTGTTTAGAAATGCTAACATGTAAGTTTTAAACTTGGTATTTAAATTTGCCTTGTTCCACAAAAAAATACTTGCATGTAAATTACGTATAATTCTTTATCGAAATAAAATAAAACATTATTTAAACACTATTTGTTTTATTCTAATAAAGTGATCAGGCTTTAAAAAATTATTGATTATGATACAAGAGATTGAAATGGTTTATTTTGTCAATAACAAAAAATACTTGACACTCGTCAAAAATATTCTAACAATCATTTACATACTGTAGCATGTTGTTGAAATAATTATGTTCTATTTTTAAGCCATTTTCTTGGCGAAGCCATAATCAAAGTCCACGTCGATTACTACTGAGCTGCCATCAAATGAAGAGTATGAAAATACATATGTCTTCATCAGATTTAGCATAGACAGTCTTGACCATAGTATTTATGTTTCTTTTTCAACACAAATTTTCCATTTTCATTTGGACAAAATGGCATGATTTGATGGCTTCTTCAATTGATGATGTTCTAAGACGTAGTGGTATATCTTGTTAAAAAAATATATAGAATTAGCTCTACAAAAACAAGTACATATACATCTTGTGATAAACCTAGTCATTGTTCTTGAAAAATTACCATTCCACATTCTACAACATTTTTGACACTTAATTCTATATATTATGCAGTCCTGATATCTTCTTCATAATATAGCCCATGTTTGACATATTTGTTGGTGAAACTTTTTGGCCAAAAATATTTTTGGCTTTATTTTCCCAGTCAGTTCCTCCATAAATAAAAGCTGTCGAGCACTATGCCACTCTGTAGAGCCTTGTTTTAAATTAGTCATATCCCAAACATCACATTCTTTCAGTACATTGTTGTACATGTTGGTTAGGGATTCTGGAATATCACATGGTAGACTTGCATCGTTATAAAGGACTTGGAAGTGTTTTCCAAAATAAGTTGATAACCGGTGTTGATAATGCCCACAGTATCATGCATATCTAGCGATTTTGAAAGTCCCTTGAAATGTCCTTTTCTAAAAGTGTATACGTTAAAAATATTATTTATTTGCACAATTGTCGGTACATACCTACGTGTTGCTAGTGCACATTTTAGTAATTCTTGTATGAAATAATACAGAATTACCTTGTTTACATGTGGAGTTAAAACCTGAATAAGCAAATCATGTTTTTCACTTTTTCCTTTTATACATGGCATCTGCTTGATAGGTACAGTCATATGTGTCCCGAACTTCACTCTTTCTTATTGACTATGCACAAGCTGGTTGGACTTTGCAGATGCCTTTCAGTTCCGACAGATTTTTTCTGCAAATAAAACATACATAATTCACCTTGACATCACTGTCACACATCCTTATTTTTGCACTTTTCACTATTCGCCATTGTCTGTCAGAGCGGTCCGTAGGACCTTTGCTGTTGGTTGAAGTCTTGTAAGTCAGTGGGTCTGTCAGGTCTGGTTGCCCAGATACCAAACAAAGTCAGGGACAAAGAAGGGAAGAAGAAAGGAAGGAAGGAAGGAGGGAGAGCAAAGAAAAAAGAAGTGCATCCATTTGAGGGGTGCCTTGGCATTGCTAGTTAGTATTCGGCAATTTTAAATTGATCCTAAAATTAATTTTGGGATTGGTTGTTGAAGAAAAATTGTAATTTAGGTTGGACCTAAAGTCGCACGATTTAATTTTGCTTACAGTGCGAGTCGCGGCCTTGTGTGCTTGCGAACTTGCTCGACTGTGTAGTCTACTGACTCGCGCAACAAAGGGTTGTTATGCGATTCTGCTTGACTGCTTGTTGTTTGATGTAGTCCCTTAGGTAAGGCATGTCAAGGTCTCTGTGAAGGGTCTCGTTGGAAACATACCATGGGGCGTTAGTGATTGTACGCAAGGTTCTGTTCTGCAAAACCTGCAGGCTACGCAAATGCGTTTTGGCGAGAAAACACCAAGCCGCACTTGCGTAAGTGATCGCTGGTCTAATAACCATCTTGTATAGCCGAACCTTGTTAATGAAACTTAATTTTGATGTTCTACATAGCGTAGGGTAGAGTTGCCGAAACGAGATTTGGAATTTAGTTTTTAACGTGACACCGAGATACTTAGCAGAGCGTTCCCTTGGTACCCGAGCTCCATTCACTGAAACCTCAGACGGGGTGCCGCTACATTTTTTAGTACAATAGATTGCCTGCGTTTTCGAATGATGAATTTTGATCAGCCACCGATTCGCCCATTCCAATACCTCGTCCACTGCACTTTGTAGCCTGTCGTGAACTAGATCCCCAGAGCACGACTGGGCCATCAGGGCAGTGTCATCAGCATACAGATAGGTTTTACAGCTGCTGGGGCAAGGGACGTCATGAATAAAAAGTTAATAAAGGACGAACCGAACCCTGAGGGACACCGGCTTTGATGGGCCGTGTTGTCGACAGAACGTTATTAATTTTGATCCGAAATTTCCTACCCTCGAGAAACGATTTCAAAAGTTTTAGGAGCCAGAAGGGGAAGCCCTTGTGGATCAATTTATAGAGAAGGCCCTTGTGCAACACCTTGTCAAATGCCTTTGAGACATCCAGTAGCAAGATGCCAGTACTTTCATTACGGGTGAACCCCCTGGTTACTCGTTGAACAAGCCTTATGGCCAGTAGCTCCATACTATGCTCAGACCGAAAGCCAAATTGCACGTCAGGAATCACATTGTGGTCTGCCGAGAAATTTTCAAGGTGACGTAGAATCACCTTTTTAGCGAGTTTAGAAGGAGCTGACAGTAGACTAATGAGGCGATAATCCAGGGGGAATATCGAACCCACCTTCTTTGGAATCATTATGACATCAGCGGTCTTCCACGCCATTGGAAAGTGCTGGGTCCTTAGCATGGCATTGATTATTGCGACGAGATAAGTTAAGGACTTCCGCGAAAGTAGCTTCAGCGCCTTATTAGTGATTCGATCCCCTCCAGGTGCTTTACGCCCTTGAGGTCTTTAATATGACCTTGGAGCTCTGCTGGTGTGCAATGCGGAGTCTCAGGAGATTCCGCTGATGTGCCGTGCAGCTCTTCGATTGAGGAATCTTCTGAAGATTCCTCTGAGGAAAAATCACTAAGGGAGGCACTACTGCCACTGACGCTGTTGCCCCTAAAATATCTCCTGACGGATCTTACAATATGTTGCTCCTCGTCGAGGTCATTATCAAGGTCATAGTTGGGAGAGAACTGACTTTCCATTGCATCAGCGAAAACCTCGACCTCAGACTAAGCCCCTAGGAGCGTGGAAGCGCAGGAGTTGTACTCGCTTTCCGTTTGTGAGCGACTTTGCAACTTTCCAGAGAGGAATACTTGAGTCAAGCATCTCCGACAGAAAGTCGCTCCATTGCTCATTACGGAATTCATGAAGACCATTTCACACTTCATGAACAAGATTAGTTGCTCTGTGAATATCATCTGGGTGACAAGACCTCTTCGCTTGCTTAATTGCAGCTCTTTTGTCAGAAATTTTCTGACGAATGTCTGCAGGGAGCTTATTTTTGCAGTAACAATAATGAAACTTAATTTACCTGGTCAAAAGAATAAGAAAGGCTGAATTGTGTTTGCACAGATCTCCAGCGGCGTCTTTACAAGCACAAAACATATGCCTTACTTTTGCTTGTATTTGTGAACAGTTAACTCCCCAGTCAACTGATGGGGATCAGAATGTAACGCACCTGTTTGCAAACAAAGGGCACAAAACTTTTTGTAATCATCTCTATGTTCTGTTTGGCCATATAGGATTAGATGTTCTGCATTTAAAACTTCTCCTTCCATAACAGAGCCTGAATTTGTATTGCCTCCAATATATGCAATATAATCTACTAATCTCAGAGTTATGCAAGCCATTTTCACATAAAAGTCCTCTAAAATGACACAACACTAAACTGTGTGTATAACAGATACACCTTTTGCTATCTACACCAAGTTTGCACCTACCAAAATTCACAGCAAAGTTGTTGTTCAAAACGAAATCAAGGTTTTTACAGCACAGTGAACAACTTTATTCACTTTCAACAAATAAAAGTACACTATAGAATTAAGCAGAAATAACTTCCAAACATACGAGTATTTTTACAGCGAAGCTAAAAATTAAGGATAATGTGTCATGTACAAGAAGCTAGTTTAGATGTCCGCCACGTGGCGCTGTGATCTTAATTTGAAATCCCAATAAAAAAATGCTGCAACCCTCCATATCTTAATCAACACCACTACTAATCTTCCTGGATTGAGACATCTAGAAGCAATCGGAAATTCTCTACGAAATGCCTTTCAGGCAAACGAACTGAGAACGCCAATTTAGTTTATTTATTCTCATTAACATATCAACCGTGCTTTGAAACCGCTTCTTGTGTGTTTCTGTTTTCAGAGAAACAATGATCGCCGGTGTGTCTTAGAATGCAAACATCTGTATTGTTTACAGGATGTTTACGCATAAAAGCCAGTTGGGTGCACCGGTTTCTAATAATATAAATTACATAAACGGCTTCTAAATGCAAATATGTGTTATGTTAAGATGCACGTATTGTGGTCGCTGACACGAAAAATATGGCGCTATCAATATTCTCGTTCTCATGCCGCTCGAGAAAGAGTGTGTCTCGATCCCTGAAAATTAAAGAAAACAACCAAATTATTGAAACTGCATACTGATTTTTCATCACTGTAAGTTTTTCGGTGTGTATCCTATGCATGGCACTTACTCTGTCCAACAATTAAAACTAGATTTCCAAGGGACAGGGGATTTTATTGAGATACGGCAATCATTTTCAAAGTCTTTTTTAGTAGAAAATGTATGACAACAAAATAATAATAGTAATAACAATAATGATAATAGTAAAAATTGTCGTTATTGGTTTAATCAAAAGGCGGAGTTTTTTTAAATAAAAGATTTAATTGTATTCAAATGGGAGTTCTCTCGGTCCCAGGAGCTCCTGAGGGATGTTGTTATATTCCTTAGCCATTTGGTAGCTGAAACTCCTTTCATACATAGTGGTTTTAACGGTAGGAGAAGTGATGACTAGTTTGGATCTAATATGTATACTAAGTGGCATATAAATCCGAACACCCAGTATAAATGGTTTTATTTTACTAAAATTTTGTATAAGTACTTAATGAAGCATAATAAGTAAATGATAAAAATTTCAAAATGATTGCACTGCTTTAAAGCCCTTTGACCTTTAATAATGTGTGGATGCACCCTGCTTTGCTACGAATTCTCCAACGCGCCTAGGCATGCTTCTGATCAGGTGGTCAATGTCCTCCTGTGGTATCTCATTCCAGGCAACCACCACCTCCTCTCGAAGTGCTTCTAGAGCCTGAGGAGGACGTTGCAAATTGAGCAATCTCCTACCCATCTTATCCCACACGTGCTCAATTGGGGATAAGTCGGGAGATCTTGGTGGCCATGGTAACAATGTGACATCATTATGTTGAAAGAAGTCTATTGTGACTCTTGCAGCATGTGGTCGGGCATTATCTTGTTGGAAAGTTGGATCTGCCAGGGTGTCAAGATAGGGTAAAAGATGGGGTTCTAGAACTTCGTGGATATAACGCTGCGCGTTCATGTTACCTCTGATGAAGATTAAAGGTGACCTGGAACCATAACCTATAGCACCCCAAACCATAACTCCAACAGTGTGATGAACATGTCTTTCAACAAAAAACTGTGGATTCCTCCTTTCACCACGTCGCCTTCTAACCCTGGCACGACCATCGTGCATGCCTAAACAAAATCGAGACTCATCACTAAAGACAATACTGTTCCATTCCTGATACCAGAGTGACCGTTGTCTGCACCACTCAAGGCGATTGCGTCGGTAAACACTTCGCATGCCAATAGGTCTTCCGTGTTCTGCAAACCATTCATTTGCAATGGACCTGGTAGTGGAGAAACGGTCCCTTAAGGCCAATAATCTTAGGCGGCGATCTTCACGGTCGGTTGTTCTACGGCGGCGTCCAGTGCCTCTTGCTCTTTGCGTACGGCCTTCTCGAAGCCATGCCTGACAACACCTAACCACAGTGTCTATACTTCTTGTCACTCTAACTGCAATTGCCCGAAAAGAAAGTCCAGCTTCCCGAAGTCCCACTATACATATACACACCAACTTTTATTAAAATAAAACCATTTAAACTGGGTGTTCGGATTTATATGTCACTTAGTATATATCGTGAACTTCTATTCGAAATTCAGTTTTTTTATAAAGGTAGGTAGGTTTATTTTGTATAAGTATTTTATTAAATAAGGTGATTGCAGAAAGTTTTAATCTATTTCTCATGTTCGTCCATTTAGTTTCTAAAAATTCCGGAACGTCATATTTTCTTATGCCATGAATAAACTTAACACAACGACTTTGAACAATCTGAATTTTTCTGCGACTTTCTACATCCAAACTGCTA